TTTCTGATCACTTATACTGGTACAAGTGCAATGTCCGTACCTGGCCTTGCTCAGAGCGACGTGGGCCCTTCTCCAGGGCTCTTAGCAAGACCTCAGCATGGCTGTTGGGCCAGTCCATTGCTTCTCACTTTGATCTGGCTGCTGCAGAGAGGAGAAAAAGAGCCCTGCATCGCTCCTCACCCTCCTAGCCAAACTTGCTGCTGAAAGGAAGAGAGAGAGGAACTTCCTCCACCTCCTACCACGGGAGTTACTAATGCGCTGGGTACTGGCCTGTGCCTTGTAACGGCTTGGCAGAGGTGGCAGGAGTCTGTTATACCCTGGATCCACACTGGTCGACTGGGGCTCAGCAACAAATGTCACCTGCCTCCCAACAGCTAGACACACACACGGCAATTCTTCAATATGCATCCACCCTCGGTCTCTGCACAGCTCACGCTTGCTGCTGTCTGCCTGCTCCTCCCTTGCTGTGCTATTAAATGACCAACTGAGCCAGCACCTGCTTGCTAGCCTCATTAATAAACATCACCAGATCTCTCGCTGAGATCTAAGGTGTCATCACATTACTGATACCAAAGACCTAAGATTCTCTTATGAGGCAGCTAGGAATGCACCAGGGAAGGGGGCACGCATTGGGAAGGATAAGAACAAGACAGTGGCTGCAAATAATGCGCCCCGTTCTCTGGTTCTAATGCCAGGGGACGTCCCACAGTCTGGAAGTGGCAGGTGTGGGCACAGTGACCCAGGGTGCGGAGGCAGGCGACAGAAGATTGTCTCATTTTTGGGAGGATTTCAGTAATGTAAAATCTGGGTCCGTTCCAAGGCAGAGCAAAAAGCTCTCCATGCTGTAGTGACTGCGTAGTGATGGTCCAAGAAAAATGCAAGAAGCATGAACTGTTTGATGATATTTTTGTGGGGGCCAATATATTTAAGAGACTCGTTAGATGCTAATCAAGCTTTCAGGCACAAAATGCCCTTCCTCAGGTTTGGGAAAGGAGCGGAGATGTCTCGAGCAAAATGCAATGGAGAACTGTTTCCTGAAACCCTCTGTGAAGGCAATGTAAGCTCAGGGCAGTCTGCACAGTGGCCCCAGCAGTGAGCGCAGCTACCGGAGAACCAGACTTTCACGACAGCGATGAACCCTAGAGAAATCAAGCTGCCAAGGATGCTCTCGATTTCAATCAGCATGTTCTGAAAAACACCGTTTCACTGGATTGTTCCCAAATCCCAGACCCACGAGGCGTCTCACTACTGCGCCTGAGCCACTGCTGTTCTTGTCCCAATGCTGCAGCTTTGCCCAGGAAGCACAGGAGAGTAGCAACTGCCAGGTGGGGTCGGACCCATCTGGTCCAGCATCTTGTGTCTGTCAGCGCACAATGCTCAACGCTGAGGAACAGGCTGGAGCCCCACTGCAGACAAATGTGGAGTAATCTCTCCCCGGCTAAAACTCTCTCATCCTAATCCTGAAGAGAGCTTGCTCTAAACCCTAAAGGATGAAGTTTTATCTCCCTTTTGATTTTCTTTCAGAGCTGTGATAAAATATTTTGCAATCTGTGTCTTAAAACTTTCTTTCACTCCTGTCTTTTCCTTCATAGTTTCATAGTTTCATAGTTTCTAGGGTCGGAAGGGACCTGAGCAGATCATCTAGTCCGACCCCCTGCCATGGCAGGAAGAGCACTGGGGTCAAATGACCCCAGTAAGGTGGTCATCCAACCTCCTCTTAAAAACCCC